GTTTTCAATGCCTAAATTATAGTGAGCTCAGCGAGCGTCGCAGAGCGACGCTCCCAAAGCGAGCTCAATAGACTAACATGTAAGAGCAGAGGAAATTCGGATTGAAATCTGTACATACGTCGACCCATTTTTTCTGTGAAACATTCCCAGAATTCCTGCACTACCCAATGTCCTTTGCGCGAATAAATAAATAAATAACGTAAGGAATTAAAGGCTTTCAGTTTATAGAAATCTTTAAAAGAAACAAAAAATAAATCTGCAGTGTCTTTCGACCAAAATTGCATTAGATCTTTAGTTTCAACCAGACGCTCGGCTATCTCCATAAGCTCCGACGAGCTCCATGACGTCAGGTGACGTCACAGCTAGTAGAGATGTCTCGTGCATCTTGATGTTTGAAGTGGCTAATTAATTTTTAGAGTGTTTTGGATGGTACAACTGCGCTCGCCCCAACGGTCACACCGTAGAACATTATTTTTACCAGGTCCAGTCCAAAGACTATTTCTACCTACGTAGCTATTAATAGCTACCTAGGTATTTAAAGCTATACCAAAAGTAGCTATTTTTACCTACTTTATATAATTTCAGCATTTTGCAACCAAAAGACCAAACGGCACAACATGGTGAATACCATATTTTTTTATACGGTCACACTAATGATGAATACGACAAAATTTTGGTCAAAAAATGATTACTTTCTGAATCGGCAATTTTACATTAGTTTCTATGCAAAATTATTAATATACGAAGTTTTCATTTTTTGGCCAAATTTTGTCATATTCATCATCAATGTGACAGTATCAAGAAATTTTGTGCTCACCATGTTGCGCCGTTCCTGCATTTTGCCATAAAATGCAAGTAAAGCAGAAAGTAGGTAAAAATAGCTACTTTGGGTAGCTTTAAATACCTAGGTAGCTATTAATAGTGTAACAGGGGGGTATGGCAAAGACACACAAACTCCTGTCAGGGTTCTTTATAAATATTTATTCACAGTGGAGTGACTTTTGGAATATACATCAATTTTAACACAGCCCTGTAAATATCATAAAACAACAATAAATATAATGTAAATATCACACACAAGACATCATGTCAATCATTACTTTTACATGTAACATGAAGATAATAGATTATCATCTTAAATTTACACAGTCAATTATTATCAAAGGGAAATAGCTCTCGAATATATAAATCTTTACATATTTCTCCCAAAATAATCATAAAAAGTATCAAAGATTAAAACATATAAATCTCACCATTCTGTGGGAACAGGTTTTCCCAATAAATTATCAGATGGACAAAATGTATGTCTATATGAATGGTGATCTGTAATTTAATACAATAATGTTAAAAAATATTATCTATTAAAAATATACCAATTAATTGCTCACTTTGAACAATATAATCAAAAATATCTTTGATCATCATAAAAACACATAATCTGAATAACTTCAAATTACTTCTAGAAAATACTTCATATTGATAATGTAATCAATAATAAATATGCATAATAAAATTACTTTCTCTCAAATAATTTATTCAATTTAGTAATAGTGCAAATGGATATAGCTTTTGCATTCTATAGGATAAACATTGTAGTGAAATTGTGTATGTAAATGTATTCCCTATGACCTTTTACCCTGACCTCATAGCCATCCACCCGTGCTGGCCAGCACGCTTCCTATCGTCAGTCGAGTCCAGTCCTACCTGCAATCACCACGTGTGTTACCTGTTTCCTTTTCATGGTTGTTTGTACCTGTACTTGATTACCAATATGTAGCATTTGTGCATCGTCGTCACCTTATACTATACTTTAAGGTAGGCGACATTTATCTATAGTAAAATGTTCATATTTTACTACATTGGCGTCGCCGGTAATTCATGTTTTGCATGCATTAAGTCAATGACATTTTAGGAAACTGTTGCTTACAGGCGTTATAATTAACGTTATTTGCAAAGTTCCATCAATTTGACTAATTTGGCATGTTATTTTTTCACCCGTGAGTAGCATTTGAACGCGTGGTGATATCACGGTCCAAGTATTTTGATAGTTTCGTTTTCATTAGTATTTAGTATTATATTTATCGTACAGCGTTTTATGTAAACGTTAGTGCGAAAAATTTTGAATATTTTCATTACTATTTAGCTTACAATATCGTAAAGGCGTTTTTTGTAAACGTCAGTGCGAAATTTTTTGATATTTTCTTTGTCTTGTGCAAATTACGTTTTTTTCCTTCTCGGTTAATAGTCAATTTCGGTCACTTGTGCCACAACGACTGAACTTTATTCGTATATTTCATTCTTTTGCACGAGACAAATATTTTTTTTCTCTATTGAAAAGTTTTTGTCACTCGTGTTGACAATTTTCGAGGAGCCCCGTTTTCTCCTCGACTCGTAATTCAATTTGGATATAGAATATTTATATATTGTTGCTTTTTCTCTCTAAGTTCCTTAAAAAATATTTTTGGGGAAAGTAGAGAGATATAGTGTTTTTGTTAGTTTTTTGTACATGTAGTTTCACGGAGCTAGTTTACTCAAACCGGTTTACCTGTTTTAGCTATATATATAGATCAAGGCGCACGTGCTCGCTTTGAACAACAGTGAACTGATTTTATCGAGTTACGTTTGCATATTAGCTCTGTGCAACAACAGTGAATATCTTTGCAAAAATATAATCAATTCATATAACATCATCAATTGATTATATTCTTTCATTAATTAGTTTATCTGGTATTTATTTTAGTAACATCAGTGGTTTTTGCTACCGTCGTCTGTCATCGGGCGTTTACATTACGTTGTAATGGTCAGTGCGGTAATCAAGCAAGTTAATTTATAGATTAAGCTATTAATAATTAAGAGTTAGATAACAGAATAATATTTTGGACCAATACCGAATTATCAAATAATGGCAAAGATAAAGGAAACGCTATCAATTCATATAACTACCAGCGATATACAGATAGAGAGAAAAGGATAGAAAGAAAAGAGAAAAATCTAACTAATTCGCCTGGAACTTTACTGTTGAGTTAAACCGGCTCAGATACAATTATTCATTGTGTTAAAGTAAAGTTTAATTCATCAGTAATCGAAAATAAAGATAGAAAACATTAAAGATAATAGAAGATAGAGAGAAAAGGATAGAAAGAATAGACGCAGTGTAAAATTACCTGGACTATACCGATGAATTAAACCGGCTAAAATACAATTACAATTATATTGTGTTAAAGTTACGTTTAAGCGTACTTACCACAAACAATAAATGGATGCGCGGGTTGATATATATTTTTTGACTGATTTTGATTTGAATTGATATAAATAATAAATCCCTGAAATATAAAGAAATCGTAGGTTTTCCTTGGTACTTAGATTTAAGATTTTATTTTGCCTTCTATATAACTCCATACAAAATTTTGCACAATTTTTTAACTTTATGACAAAATCTTATAAAATTCTCCCACTCTACTTTTTAAACATTATTCAGGTTGTCAATTTAAATGTAAATCTATGAAAAAATTATGCTGATTTCTGAAAAAAGTTTGTTTGTGTTATTTATCCTTAATTCAGATCACGGTGATCAAATAGAACTTGTTGCATATCAGTCTCAGTAGTGTGTTATATTTTCACCGGCGGTTTCGTTTTACCGTGACGTGGAAATAGCGTATAACGTACAGCAATATATACACACATTCTCCGACTGACTGTTTCAGTAGTATCAAACGGCGTGATCATTTCCGTAACTTTCAACTACTGAAAGCAACACGATGAATCCAGCAATGACACCTTGTGCAGCACCTCCTGGATACTATGGTGTACCATACCTGCCATCTCTTAATCCATACGGGTATCCAACTCCTTGTGTACCAGTCCCTGGGAGCTATCCAGTACCATTTCCTGGATATGGTGGACCATTCCCACAACCATTTCTTGGACCACCACAGCCATATCCCAGCATACCATATGCATATGGCCCGCATCCCGGAATGTTTCCACCTGGATACATGGTACCACAACAGGCATACCCACAACCATGCATGTATGGAGGGCCACCAGTGCCAACACCATTGACCCAAGTACAAGATGGAGGAGCTGTGCAATATCCTACTATGTCTCAAAATTTATTCCAGACAATAACCAGTTCCAGGAACAAAGAAATGGTTATGCACTGATGAAACCTGGAGATGCCAACAGCTGTACATCTGACCAACCTACAGCAGTGCAACATCAACAGCAGATGTCTACAGGTTCCAGAAATAGTCCACCAGGTTTTCTACAAATACGGAGTGGTGATATATCACCTGCTAGTATGCAGTGGAATACCATGGTGTCACATGGTGATCCCAAAGTTCCAGGAATTCCACACACAGAAGACATAGACAGAGACCAAACTGATGACAGTTCGTCTGAGTTATGGCTACTGAGTAGTTTGCTGTCGAGGGGGACGATAAACTTGCTATTGTCCGAATAGTCAGTAAATAGGTGTTTTATTATACCGATGCTGACTTAACTTTTGTTAACTTTTGGGTACACACAATTATGATATTCCATATTATACCGGTGCTGACTTAACTTTTGTTACGTCATAATATAATACGCGTCACAATCCATGTAAAATCAGAAGTTTTTCTGAGATGAAAAGCGAGGGAAATCGAATGCTGCCGTTGAATAGTTTGAGGACTATTCACCATGGGCAAATAGCACAAAAACTATTTCACGGTAGAGACTGTTTAGAAAAAATAGCATGTTTATTAAGGTCTTCCGTCTTCACGGAAGACCTTATAGTGATTCTACTGTTTCTTATTATTATTATTATTAAGGTCTTCCGTCTTCACGGAAGACCTTATAGTTATTGTACTGTTTCTTATTATTATTCTTTTTATTATTTTTTTGACTTTCTAATTTTGTGTGCGCGATTTCTCGGAGACTACTGGATGGAATTACATGAAAATATTAGACAAGATGTGTCGTAAAATGAACTTGATCTATCTGAGCGATTTTTTGGAAATTCCTATCTGGTGCCAAGTTATGGACAATTTCCTGAAATTAAAATGACATTTTGTCCGCGATTAAACTCAAAAACGGTAAAAGATATCAACATGAAACTTTCAGGGATTATAGATCGTGATATATACCATCCAGGACGCGACACTTTGTTCGTCGTCGGTACTTCCTGTCGTTAGGAGAAGCGAATTGAAAAAATCGTATTTTCTAACTTTTTTGTTTTTCAACATTTTTTATTTATTTTTGGAATGATAATAGACACCCTTTGATCGATGCTTACTATATAAGTTGTTTAGATATTGGTTAATCAAAACTCTAGATATTAATATTTGAAAATCTGAAGCGGACCCAAGATGGCGGCTGTCTCTGTCAACTCCGCCATTTCGCGAGTAGGGGTTTATGGAGGCAGCTGAGCGTTTGACTAAATGATACATGAAAAGTAAAAAAACTACATGGACTTTCACCTATTAGTACGCTGCAGTTACGTGTCAATCTTAAAACTTAATTTCCGTTTTACTGCTTTAGAGTAATTGGGGTAGATACGTGTGTGCAATGTGTTAAATTTACTTTCTTAGCGTCGAAAAAAATAAAGGCGTTGTTTAAGTTAACTTAAGTTGTTTAATATAATATTTAATTTCATTGAAGCTATCACAACTATTTGATAGATCAGTCCAAAGGATAAGCACGAATATTTACTCATGGTGTTTTTCGCCAGATTATGAATAGTGGCCCGCCTTTTATGATTCTTAGACAGGTGTACTGTTGCAGGTGTACTGTATACATAACTATATTTAGAGCAGTATTTAAAATTTATTAGTTTTTCACAAACGTAACCACTGTGTTTCCCATGCATACATGAGTCATATTAAACTAATAAAAAAGACAGAAATAAGAAAACCTTTTTTTAAATAAGATCGTCTCATGGAGTTTATATTAACATTCTTTTCTCAAAGATATTTAAAGTTGAACATTGAACATAAATGAAATCTGATTCCTTGACCGTCGTATGACGAGACATGTCTTTCATCGAACCATTTCTACCTTTTCATGAAGGTGTAAAGAATCGGGTTAGTTCACTTTGGGGATAAACGGGTAATTAAAAAAAAGTTAAAAATGATTACCATTTCACTTCTTTTGTGTTACTTACCTATATAAGATATAGAATATGTACAATCTGTGAAATATATTTTCTAAACCTCGAAATTTAAGATGAAAAAACGTTCCTTTTTCTTTATTCTATTGAAGCTATCACATCTATTTAATGAAACATTCCAAAGAAAAGGCGCGCAGATTTACTTGTGGCGTTTGGCGCGATATTATAAATTGTGGCGCACCTTTCGTGATTTTTAGACAGATGTATTGTTGAAGAAGTATATTTAAGTACATTTAGAGCAGTGGACTAAAACGCGTAATTTAAGCATGTTGTGAATAAAGAGGAAAAAAGTGCGTTGGATTTTCACGCTGGCGACCTGGATTCAATACCCTTTGTGACCAAATTTTTTTTATCACTTTTTCAGCTCGATTTAAGGTTCTTTTCCTGAAAGGGACGGAAGACCTCTCGTTGCTCGCAACGAGATCTTTTCTAGTTATTATTATTATTATTATTATTATTCTGACACGATTTCTCGACAACTACTGGATAGAATTACATGAAATTTTCAGGAAAGATGTGTTGTAAGATACTCTTGAAAGTTCCAAGACAGTTTTTGGAAATTCCTCTCTGGTGCCAAGTTTTGGACCATTTTCCTGATTTTAAAACGACATTTTGTCCACGATTAAACTCAAAAACGGTAAAAGATATCAATTTGAAACTTTCAGAGTTTATAGATGATGATCAATACTTTCCAGGACGCAACTTTTCGTTCGTCGTCAGTACTTCCTGTCGCTACCGGAAGCCAATTCAAAAAGTCCAAATTTTCAACTTTCTTTGTTTTTCAATATTTTTCATTTATTTTTGGAATATTAATAGAGACACTTCTATTGATGCTTACTATATAAGTTGTTTAAATATTGGTTAATCTGAACTCTAGATATTAATATTTGAAAATCTGAAGCGGGCCAAAGATGGCGGCTGTCTCTGTCAACTCCAACATTTCGCGAGTAGGGGCTTATGGAGGCAGCTGAGCGTTTGATTAAACCATTCTGACATAAGGATACATGAAATGCAAAAAACTACTTGGACTCTCACGTAGTAGTACGTTGCAATTCAGTGTCAATCTTAAAAAACTTAATTTACGTTTCACTGCTTTAGTGTTACTGGGCTAGATACGATATGTAATGTGTACAATGTGTTAAATATACTTTCCTAACGCCGAAATAAATTAAAGGTGATAAGAATGTTTTATCTAATTAATTTCATTGAAGCTATTGCACCTCTTTAATAGATCAGTACAAAGAAAAGGTGCGAATATTTACGCGTGGCGTTTGACACGAAATTATGAATAGTGGCCCGCCTTTTATGATTCTTAGACAGGTGTACTGTTGCAAAAGTATACACAAGTATATTTAAAGCAGTATTCCAAATAGCTAAATGGTTCGCGCGTTAGTTAGAAAAGAGAAAAAAAAGGTCATTCACGTTGGCGACCTGGATTCACTTCTCCTTGTGATTAAAATTTTGAATCACTTTTTAGTTCGATTTTACAAGTATTTTTTCCTGAATCGGACGGAAGACCTCTCGTTGCTCGCAACGAGATCGTATCTAGTTATTATTCTTTTTATTATTTTTTTTGACTTTCTAATTTTGTGCACGCGATTTCTCGAAGATTACTGGATGAAATGACGTGAAATTTTCAGAATTGATGTGTCGTAACATGAATTTTATATATCCTGGAGATTTTTTGGAAATTCGCTTCCGGTGCCAAGTTACGGACAATTTTCTGAAATTAAAATGACATTTTGTCCGCGATTAAACTCAAAAACGGTAAAAGATATCAACATGAAACTTTCAGGGATTATAGATCGTGATATTTACCCTCCAGGACGCGACTCTCTGTTCGTCGTCGCTACTTCCTGTCGTTAGGAGAAGCGAATTGAAAAAATCGCATTTTCTAACTTTTTTGTTTTTCATTATTTTTTATTTATTTTTGGAATGATAATAGAGACTCTTTGATTGATGCTTACTATATAAGTTGTTTGGATATTGGTTTCTCTGATCTCTAGATATTAACATTTGAAAATCTGAAGCGGGACCAAGATGGCGGCTGTCTCTGTCAACTCCGCCATTTCGCGAGTAGGGGTTTATGGAGGCAGCTGAGCGTTTGATTAAACCATTCTGACATAAGGATACATGAAATGTAAGAAACTACTTCGACTCTCACGTAGTAGTGAAATAGTTGGAGGAGCTACCTCCCGTTACTTGTTTATATTGTAATAGATAATCAATGTAAATATTGTAATGAATTGGTCAATTGACAAAAGAATTATACAAGTATTATTGATAAATGATGTTCTGTTAGAAAATAATAATAGTGTTGCCAAAAGAAAGGCAGTCTGTTGTATTTTATCAATATGATATCTGATTACTTATGATCATTGATTAAGTTGAGGTACAAGGGGGCAGTACAGCGAACTGGCTTTGTCTTCACTTTGGTACAGAAACCAATTGGTTAATCGATCAAATAGGATTGTGCAAAGTTGCCGTAGTCAGTGACTAGTTAAAATGTAGCTGTGTGACGTTAGCTATAAGTTTGTCATTAGGACAGAGAAGCTCTTCCAAAGTTAAATCATACTGTTTAAGTATATTGTAGCCACTTGGCTAGAGTTATATAGTCAACTTGGTAAGCAATAATACACCAGGCAGGTGTTAAAGGCTAAATCAAGAGGCACCAGGCAGATAGATGTTGACTTATATAGTCAGTTGTACGAGTATAGTGAGGCAATTATCATATGGCACCAGGCAGGTGCCGGTATTAACTGAAGATATATATAATTATACAAAGCACTTAGGTTATTTGATTTAAAGACACCAGGCAGGTGTCATATTATTATCTGTATATATTGCATTCAATCATATCCCCAGTAAAACTCGGTAATCCGAGCACGGACCTACTGACCGCTCAGATCCGACACGTTACAGTAGTACGTTGCAATTGAGTGTCAATCTCCGTTTCACTGCTTTAGTGTAACTGGGCTAGATACGATATGTAATGTGTATAATATGTTACATATA